CTCCAACAAAAGCTCATCACAAGCTCTCAATCTCATTATCAATGAGAACTCATATAATGTAAATCATGTTGGATCATCACCAATTGAAAACCAGAGTTCATTTTGTTTTTTGGTTACAATCATTCTCTTTATAAGTTGGTGGAGTAACCGGACTGAAAAAGGTATATGCTTCATTCAATATAATTGTCTGAGACCAGATTCCATCAGCATTTCTCAATAAACATCATCTAACATTTCCCGAACATGGTCAACTAACATGACATTTAAATATTTTCAGCAAGCAGAATACTAAAAAGATCTAATTTTCTAATAGCAATTTTTATGAAATTTCCATCTTTACTTTCAATTATTAGCTCCACAATATTCAGAATCCAAAAGAATCACAACTTGCTGGAAGAAGGGAAAGAAAAACACTTATCATCTATCAAAGAACGTAAAATCTTTGTAGCCATTTTCAATCCGCTCTCTTCAATCAAATTATCAATGACCCAAAGATCTTATGAATCTCAACCCTTTTTGTATACCCATTTCCAAATACACTAGTGTTTTCTTCTACTATAATCCTATGACCACCCTTTAAATTACATTCTATGAAAATTCTAAATTACCACTGGAAATGCACAAAATTCTTTCCACAGCCCTCAGGTGCCAAGAAAATGAAATAATGCATATTCTAGTAATTTTATTTAAAAATTTCAAGCAACAGAAATTGATGCAATCTCTCCCCCTTCCATATTTACTTAATTCACCGCAAAGTCCCCCTTAATTTCACCTCCTTTGGCTAATTATAGGGCCGAAATACAAGAAACGTGAATTAAAATAAAGATCTAAACAAGCCCATTCTATCGGTATATTTCTTGCTTGCACAAATTTCTCTAAAATTTTTTGCATAAAATCGTAGTAAAAATGAAAAATTGAGGAAACATTCATACCTGTGGATAGCCCACTATGACATTGGTTCTTAGAAGTGGTTGCTCACGTATGGGTGCTTTTTCGCAAGTTTCGTTTCCTTATCTTAAGAAATGGACAAAATCTTCATGCCGAATTCCTTCTTTTGCTAAAAAAACATGAAGGTACTTGAATGTAGAAGGATTTGGAGATGATAAAGCGACAAAGAGAAAATAAGAAGGGTTCGGGGATCGTCAAAAGAGAAGAAATATTAGATTTAGGATTTTGGGAATTCAATTGATTTGAGAAAGGAAGAATTACATTTTCTAGATGGTGGTAAGGATATATTAGGTAGTTTGCAACTTATAATTTGAAATATTTATTTTAAAAATACTATTTTGGTCAAAGGCTAAAATCCTAAAGTGCAGTATGAAATAGGCTATTTGACCCAATTACCATATAACATATTCATACATTTCTTTCTTGATGGGATTTCAATTAGCTCTTCCTTATCGGTCCAGAGAGTTTCAAAAACTTCAATATTTCTATTGAATGAATAAGTAAATTTTGTGAACACAATAGAATCTACACAATGTCTTCTTTAAAGCATCTATGAAGATATAATCTCAATCACTTGTGGGTGTCATCATGTAAATGGAATGGACTAATTAATGGTGTTAGACTGAAATAGATGAATGAGCCCTTGTTTGTCCCATTTAAAACAAAACTCTTTAATCCTTATACTCATTTTCAACCACGAAATTACATAATAAAATATTTTGCACGTAAACTCGAAACGTTTCTCTACCTTTTAACCACACATTTTCCAAAATATCACCATTCAAGACATCATTTTTCAACAAAATGACATCGAATTCATACATGGCTGAGTTAAGTTATTAAAAAAAACAATATTACTATTATTATTCAGTGTTTGCAAAAAATAAATTTAATGCCTTGTAAAAAATGAATACATTTATTTAAATAGGGTGATTATATTGCTACCACAAGTTATTTATGTTACACTTCATTTTTCCACCCCGATTAAAATACAGTTTTAATAAATAAACAACTTTAATTTGACTAATAAAACCTAATCTATATCTATAATATATTAAATATCACATCAAGCGATAATCAATTTTTGAACGATTCTAGCCCTATTATAATTCAATTATTCCTATAAGATCTTACTTTTTATTTTTCAATACATTTTTAATTTATTTAACCATGTAACTACCATCAATGTACACGTGCATTTAACTGATTCATCTCACATGTGTACTTTCATTAATGCAAGAATTTTCTATTATTCATTTTCAATTAATTAACATCCACATTCATTTAATTAATATTCATTTTCATTTATGCATTTCATTGTTATTAATTTTAATCATAATTTCATTAGAATTTCACATTCAAGAATACATTTAATTATTCAAGTCCATGTACGCTTATTAACATCCAATTTTACTTAATTGGAATTAAGTATCACATCAAATGAGAATCAATTTTTGGACCATTTTATCCCTATTATAATTCAGTTATTTCAATAATACCTTACTTTTTATTTTTCAATATATTTAATTTATTTAATCATTTAGTCACCATCAATGTACATGTGTATTTGACAGATTCACTTCACATGTTTACTTTCATTAATGTATGAATTCACTATTATTAATTCTCAATTAACAACATTCACATTCATTTAATTAATATTCGTGTTCGTTTATGCATTTTGGTATTATTAATTCTAACTATAAGTTAATGAAAATTTCATATTCAAGAATGCATTTCATTATTCACGTCAGTGTATGATAAGAAACATCTAGCTTTACTTAATTGAAAATTAAATAAAAGATTTAACATTCGTTGCCATGTAAATATTCCATGGTATTAATTCTAAGTTAGTTAACATTTACACATATTCATATTATTTTTATAGTACTTATAAAGTATTTCATAATAATGTGCAATGTTCAACGTTGTCTATTATAATTAAAAATTACTTCATTAGTTAATCCTCGCTCTAAAACATCTCAAGCTTAATCAACCCCGTAAATCCATGAGCAATGCTTCATTCACAGAATGAAGGTTCACAGAATTTTTACATACAAGAAACAAATGCGTGGGGCCCGCAATTTATTGTCAATTTTTTATACTGGCGTGGGACCCAATCGCCTCTCTCTTCTGGCTCCATTCTATAATCAATTAATCTGATCATCTGTATACTAAAGCTGTCCTTTCCTCTATATTTGATATCGCATGAAAATTATGGCAGCCCCTTCATAGAAGACAGTCCTTTTTTACTTACTAACAAGCCGTGCGGTATCGATTCCTATATAAATAGACCTACTGGAGATATGTACACTTGGCAATTTTGAATTGGGCATTTAATGGGGACTTATCTACTGATTCTGTGCGAGAGTCTAATAAGGTGCATTCAATTGAGACTTTTAATGAATTTTAGGGATTTAAAATGTTTAGGAATATTCAATGTAGATTTTTTGAAACTCTCAAAAAGTATTGATATATTTAATTAAAACTTTTATAGACTTTTAAAGAGTATTTAAAAGTTACGGTGTGTTCAATTAAAACTTTTAAAATCTCTAGTATATTAACTTTTAAATAGAAAGTACTCATAAAATTTTGAAATTTGTTCTCAGTCAAAAAATTTTGGTAGACTATCACAAATGATGATGATGATGATGATGATGATAAGATTTTGGGAGATTTTCACAAATAATTTTTTTTATATAGTTATCCTCTCTGTCTCTCTCCCTCTCATATTGTTTATCTCTATATTCTATGGAAAAAAAAATTAAATTCTTATAAAAATAAAAATTTCTTTTTTCATTCATTTTTTGCTGAGAAATATTTATTTTTTAATTAAATTATAAAATTTCATATGGCAAATTTATAATTAGAATTAAATATATTATTGACTTTTTATTTATTTTTAAAGGTATATTATATTAATAACACTGAATATTAAATTTTTTATCATATATATATTTGATTATAATTTATCTAATTAAAGTCTTAAATTTTTATCCTTTTCCAAATAACTTTTTATTGTAATGGGGAGGGGAAGGAAAATTGTGAAAATCACTGCCTTGTATATAAGAATTTCACATTATCAAACTATATCCACATAATTTTACTTCATAAAAAAGTCTTCAAAAGTCATTTGAATTGTACAAAAGTCTATAAAAAAAATTAAAATGAAAAATTATAGAGTCTATGAAAGACCTTCACTAATTTCGTACAAATCTACAAAAAAATCCATGAACTCTATAAATGTTATCACTTAAAAAAAGTCTATCAAAGTTTTCGAAAGTGTCAATTGAATACATACTCCTAAATTACCAAAGAATTATGGTTTGGTTATTCAAAATATTTTTAGAGAGTGATTATATATATATATATATATATTGGTCTTTTTTATCCTTGGAAATAATTTAATTACCCTGTAGGTCTTTAAATAAATGTGATAAATGTGATTTGATAAGATTAAAAAGTTGTACCAAAAGTGGACAAATATCACATCATTTTAAAAAGGGAATTTTTAATTTTTTTTTTCCCCTAATCTACTCATTTCATCTCATCCATCCCACTTCCTTCCCCCACGTCTCTCTCTCTCGCCGCTTCCTTTATCCCCTGACTGTGTCTCTCGCTCTCTCTCTTCATCCTCTCCTACCTTGGAAATAATTTAATTACCTTGTAGGTCTTTAAATAAATGTGATTTGAGAAGATAAAAATGTTGTACCAAAAGTGGACAAATATCACATCATTTTAAAAAGTATATATATATATCCTTGGAAATAATTTAATTACCTTGTAGGTCTTTAAATAAATGTGATTTGATAAGATAAAAATGTTGTACCAAAAGTGGACAAATATCACATCATTTTAAAAAGTATATATATATATCCTTGGAAATAATTTAATTACCTTGTAGGTCTTTAAATAAATGTGATTTGATAAGATAAAAATGTTGTACCAAAAGTGGACAAATATCACATCATTTTAAAAAGGGAATTTTTAATTTTTTTTTCCCTAATCTACTCATTTCATCTCATCCATCCCACTTCCGCCCCCCACGTCTCTCTGTCTCTCTCGCCGCCCCCTTTATCCCCTGACTGTGTCTCCCGCTCTCTCTCTTCATCCTCTCCTATAGGAACAAAATCTAGTTCCCAATGCACACATCAATGGTGAAATAGGCACCTAAATATCTTTTGACTCTCTCTCTCTCCTCCCACTTCGCCATCTCCAATTCTCCATTGTTCAAGCCGAAGTCATCATCTTCGTCTCTTTATACTGTACCAACAATATCTTAACTCTGTACACTGTTCATCTCCAAAGTCGCCCGCCCCATTTGCATTATGCGACTTCAAAGTGTTGTTTTCTTCCAGTTTTGGTGTTTTTTTTTTTCCCCTAAGTTTTTATGAATTTTGATTTAGGGATTACTCATTCCTATAATTAATTTTGTTTTCTAATTTGGGGTTTTCCAATTTAGATATTTAGGGATTTCTAACTTAACCTTAAGAATTTAGAAATTTCTGATTTAAAGCTTTCTATTTATATGTAAATTGATTTAGGGAACATTGAAACTTTTTGATTTATTTGTTTGAAATTTGGTTGAAAGAAGTATATGAAACTGATTTAGGGATTTCTAATTTGGTTGTAGAACAAACTGTCGAGATTAACTATTATTCTCTACAGTTAATTGTTAGAATTCTTGACGGTGTGGTAACCACTTTCAAATGTTTTGTCATGCGAAATTTGGTTTAGCTTATTCTGTACGTGTGTTATGAATTAAAATGTGCGACACCGATGTTATATAGAATTTATCACCTTCTTCCATTATTAAATTTTGGTAATTTTGGTAACTAATACCGTTTAAATACTATTGTATAGGAGTACACACTAATATACTATTGCCATGACCATACCCGTTCAAGGTGAGGATTCCGTTAATATAAAGAGGCAACAATTGGCGAGCGTTCGAGTGCTTGTTTTATCAATTGGGACTCCATTCATGAGGAGCAGCAGAAAGGAAGCCAAGCAATGCTAAATCAAGCAACATATTGGATATACTCTAGGAGTTAACTAGAGAAAATAGTCACTTATTCTCAAGGAAATCATAGCTATTGTTTTTGAGTAGTTAATAACGTGATATTACTTTTGATTGTTTTTCTTTCACAAAGAAAATTTATCGTGATAGCATTTATGTGTAGCTTTCTACTTTACATATGTTTACAGTTCCTAGTAGTGATGTGCTTTCTTTCATTTGGGTATAACCTTCACCTATACTTTGTGTATTTTAGGGGATTTGCGTGATAATGTATATACATAATGTTATGCATCCGATTATCCTTATTGCCAAGGATTTACATGGTAATGTATGCACATAATGTTGTGCATCCAATTATCCGTTATGTCCAAATGTTTAGTCTAATTCACTACTTTGTAATGAACTATCGAGAATCACTGCGATAATTTGTCGATACTAACAGTTGAGCTACTACAACTAATGAAATATTTTGTTTATTTAACTACCTTTCCTGTAACATCATGTCTACTTGATTAATACCTACAAATAATAATGACACGAAATTGACAAGACAATATAAAATGTTAATGCCATCATTGTATAATGCAAAATTCAACTTTAACCCTTCAAGCTTTGTGCTCAAACGGGTTCGATTGCATTTCTTGATGCGTAGGCTAAACTCATATTATTATTCATATCTGAAAAGTTGATATTGCAATTCTAAGCAATTTGTACCATCAACATGTTGCATTTAATAGCATGAAAGTTTCACTTTCGATTATTTAAATCCAAACAATTAAAATGAGTGAAACCAACAGTTGAAATGCGTATCCTGACATTTCAAAAATGTCAAATTCTATAGTTGTTTCAATAGTTTAATTGTCGAAACTGACAGGAAGCATTTAATGTTGTGATTGGAAGACATTTTCCATAACATTAAGTGTTGGTATCATTATTCAAAAAGATTTCAAGAACCAAACCAAATTAATTAACAATAATTTGGCAAATTTCAAATACATATGATCATGTTGTATTTAACAATTCAAAAATAGTAAGTTATAAGATAAAAATATAAATAATTTGTAAATGCTAACTTCTCAAAATTGAAAATGAATCCACTAATAATTTCTTCTTCTTGTTGGAGTTAGAGAAGATGTGAAGAAAGCTGGGATTTTTTTGTGTAGGGAAATTGGTTCATACATTCATAAGAATTTGTTGTTTTTTACTTATGAATTTATATTACCCAATGTATTATACATAAATCTAATGATTTATAATACATAATTGAAAACATCATACCAAAGCATTAATGAGCATTAAATACTCTTAAAAAGATATATCCAAGGGTGATTTGGAAATTTCACACCAAAAGGTTACATTTTTTTAGCACCATTTGTAAAAGTGATCATTTTTGGTGTATTTTCAAATTTTGTGACATTTATGAAAATGTCTCCGCAAAGGAAATAGTGGACAAATTTATTTAATTTAATGATCGTGGTGTTTATGAAATTTGTTTAATGTTAAATACTAAATTTAAAAGTGTGGTTAATTAAGTAATTTTACTTAGTATTGTTTAACTAAATAATAAAATTGTGGTGTAACAAGTAATTTTTAGGGTAGTAATATAATTACCCTTTTAAATAGTTGTGCATTGTAATTTCCACTTTAATAGAAGGTGTTATGTTTTCGATTGTACTATATGTACATTACAACTTATATATTTGCTTATTAACACATTATATAACGAGATTTGATTGAGTCAAAATCTTATCAATAAAAAAGTTGTAATTATATTTACACCATAATTTTTTTATTTCTTGCACCACTTTTTATTTACACTTAAAGTTCTCAAATTTTACTCAATGTTCAAGGTTAAAATAATCAAATTAACGTTTTATTCAACCTTTTTTTTTTTTTTTTTACTAATGTATGATGACAAGACGATAATTGAAACATGTTTACGATTTTTCCAGTTGAATTGACACCTCCAATTTTTTTAACATTGTTTGACATGAAATTCAACAAATAAATAAATGCTAATCTATTCAACTAATAATTCCAACCATAAAAATAAAATCAATTAATATGCAATCGGTAAATTCCCAATATTCCATTTATATCACATTTGAAAACAAACAATTCTATTTAAAGTAAGAACTTGAAATCCGCATAAATGTATTTAACAAAATCATTGATAAGTGTAAGTTGTGCATTTATTTAAGCCATATTTCTAAACTTTTATGTCGTCAAATTATTCATTTCTATTTAACTTAGGTTTTTTTTTTTTTTTTTGAAGTGATAAACTCGTTTGAAGCATTTGGAAAAGGATGAAGGATTACTTGGCTATAGGATGCAATAGTGGAGATCAAATTCAATACTTGGGAAATTGAAGGGCTCAAATTGATTTGAAGAGGACATTGATTGCACAATTGATGAACGCAATGACCATGTTGCATTAACTTAAAAGTTTGAATGACTTGAAGAAAATAATAAATTAAAAAAATGGGCCTAATTGTTGGACTTGTATAGGATTCAAATTCATTAGCCATTGGGAATCCTATTAATACAAATAAAAGTGGACTTGTGGGAATTCTATGTGGAATAAAACTTAAGTTGGTGGCCATTTATACATATGTTTACAGCCTACGCACAAGGAAAAAATTGGAATTTGTTGGGGAGTTAAATTGGGCTGCTTGGGCTGGAATACATAGCGAATACGGAAAGGAAGAAGGAGAAAAGGCTGTCGATTGTTGGTCTATATTAGATACACACATAGACGGCAACTGGGAGAAAAAGGAGAAAACATTGGACAACTTCTGTGCTATTTGGAAAAGAGAGTCTGCAGATTTTTTGGAATTAAAAAGGAGGAAACATAAAATCATAGAAACGAGCCACGACAACACAACAGCAGCAAAATAATTATTTCCATATTTTTGTTCGATAAGTTATCTATAATTGCAAGGAAATTAATCACGTTCCATCGACTCTCGATGATGTCGTTCCACTTTTCTTCGTTTAATTTCAACATTATGCTAGGCTAATTTCTCTCATGTATTAGATGAAGATGAATTCCTTTATTATTATTTTTTAATTCAAAACAATTAGTTTAGTTCGATTTTTGCAATTCTTGATTAACCTTGCATGTCTAATTTTATTATTTGATTGCTTGATCACTAATTAAATATATTGCTGCTTGTTTTAGTTCTTAGAGGCTCAAAATAGGTCTAGAATACTGCTTGATTAGACTACGTCAATAATAATAAATTTTAGGAATAAGATTTATCACGTGAGCAATCTTTGAGATAATTGTAAAATTGAATGCATTCTATTCATTCAAATTCGGACTAAGAATAGATTCTGGTCGTGATTAGGACAGATTTAATTTTTCTTGGAAAATAAAATTAATTACGATAAAATTATTGATTGTCATGAATGCTTGAATGAAACTAGTTATATAGTCAAAAATTGGAATAGATAATAATATGCGAATTCATAATCCAATACACTTTTTGCATACATATTAAATTTGCATTTTATAAGCTTTCGTAGATTAAGTCAGATTAATTAAAAACATCAAGTCACTTTTGTTTGTTTACTTTGAATCTATTTAAAGACTAGTACACTCAATTAAATTTTATTGCTCATGAGACGATACTCTCAAGTTACTAAATTTATTACTTGGAAACGATCTCGTACGCTTGCGGGTATCATACGAACAATCATAACGACTTAACTTACATATCGACATTATAGATTTCATGATAATGGGTAAATATTTCCAAAACATACATCTAGATAGGAAATTAATAGAAGACATAAAGGCTGAGAAATTATAAAATAGGAACTCAATTTATTAAGCAGAAAGCAAGAACCCATTTTTCTAACAAATAAGTCAAAAGAAATGCTCAATCATGTAGGAATCCAAGCACATACTTCAATAAATTTAATAAAAATACTAAACTATAATGAACATTAATCAATAACAATCTTTATTTTTATTTTTTAATCAACGACTGAGTTCATGACTTTTTTTTTTTTTTTGGAAGCAATACATATATAAGGTGCTTACTATACATCAAAGTTTAAAAATTTAAAAGTTAGGTGATAAATAATATATAATATACTATATATAAAATAAATATCCATCTTAATTTAAAAGTTAGGTGATAAATAATATATAATATACTATATATAAAATAAATATCCATCTTAATATCTCATCCACTCCAATCTCTCTCCACATACACGTCCGGCTACAGTAATCGACATTCACCCACGGCCATCTCTTCTCACACAATGATTGGTTTGCAAATCTAGATAAAGGCGTTTGATCCAAGATCCATGAATACATCATTTTAAGGGTAGCAATTTTTTTTTTTTTTTTTGGATTTTTAATTTAGTGAACCAACCACAAGAATTGGGGTATTATCTAATTGAACTTCACCTAAGAAAATTGATTGACGTCAGAATGATTTAAGGAATGATGTGATTTAAACTACTGTAGAGAACTGATTCATCCATTTATCATGCTCTGTACAACTGTGCTTTGAAGAATCCTTAAGAATTTTCAAAATTTTTGAAAGGATCCGTAGGTAATTGAATTTGCCTCATAGCTCATAAGTAAGAAGGCTTTATCTCGAGTTATTGGGTGAAGAAAAAGAAAAGGAGAATTTATTTGTATTTCATTTTACTAGTTTAATTTCCATTTTTCCTCAGTGACCAATTATTTTAGAATTATGACCTATGCACTATGAAATTGACGTGTGAATTGTTACACGTGGCCTAGGATATTTGATTCAATGGCATGTTACCAGTTCTCTTGGATTTATGACGTATGGACATTGATCTATTACTTGTAATATTAATCCATGGCCTGTGATCGGTTCATTTGGATTTGTGACCTCTACACATTGAATTGTTACCTATACAAAATGACTTGTCACTTGTGACCTGTAACATATGAACTATGAACTTGAATCTATGTCTTGTTATTAGTGCACAAAATCATGTGGCATCTGATCTGTAACATGTTATATGGGTTATAATACATGTACAGTATGATGTCCATAATATACAAGTGGCATAATGTTATTGGAGAGTTGAAAAATAGTTTTTTCCACCCTCCAATCTTAGAATTTCACATATATATTATGGACACCCTTATGAATATTATAATGTACATGTAGAATTATCTCATATTACATTGATCTGTAACCTATACAATATGATATGTGACTCATGCACAATAACTCGTGACATGTAACAAGTGCACATTTATCTTTGACAGTTAAATTATGACTTGTAACAATGAA